GCTCTCTCTCGCTCTCTCTCTCTTTCTCTCTCTCTCACTCACATTCTCTCTCTCTCTTTCTCTCTCTCTCACTCTCCCTCCCCTCTTACTCTCATTCATTCCCCCCGAGAGCAAGTCATAAATGCGGTGCACGCGCGCGTGTAGCCGATGCAAAATGCATGGGCACTGTATCATCTAAATGAGCTTGTGGCAGCCGCCTGGAATAGAAGGAAGAGCACTCTCTTCCATACACAACGACAAGCCAGCTAGGCTATTCCACGCTCGGCTCTCTCTCAGAATCAGTTGAAAATCTGCTCTCGCTGGCTCCCGGTTCGATATAGGCAATCAATATTTCAGATAGCGCTCTACCAACGGGCCCTGGCAATGCTACAATGGGCGGGCCTCCCCCCTGCGGCCCTGGCAATGCTACAGTGGGCGGGCCTCCCCCATGCGGCCCTGGGAATGCTACAGTGGGCGGGCCTCCCCCTCCTGCCCGCCGCTGGACCCAACCAGTTTTTCTAGGCCGTACCGAGTGCAGCAAGGGAGGAAGAGGAGGAGGACGAGGAGGAGGAGGAGGAGGAGGAGGAGCAGGAGCAGGAGCAGGAGGGAGAGCATGAGGGGCAAGAGGAGGAAGAGGAGGTGGAGCAGTGGGTGGAGAATGAGGAGGAAGAGGAGGAGGAGGATGATGATGACGAATAGGAGGAAGAGCAAGAGGAGGAGGAAGAGAAAAAGGAGGAGGAGCAGGACGAGGAGGACGAGGAGGATGAGGAGGATGAGGAGGATGAGCAGGACGAAGAGGATGAGGAGGAGGAGGAGAAGGAAGAGGAGGATGACAAAGAGGAGCAGGAGGAGGAGGAAGAGCAGGAGGGAGGGAGTACCCCCGTCACCATGCACGAATCCAGAAGCGAGAACAAGCGATTTATTGTGTACGACACACACACACGCCATTAGCGAAGTCCAGCGAGTGCCATCCACGAGCAAATCCCGAATGGTTTCAGACAAACTCGCAAGCTATAATACACATATAAACATATAATATATATACATATCTATATATCTATAGACATATATATATATTATTCTCGTTATCTTCGACACGACGACGACCTTGCGAGTTTGCGGAGGTCACAGCTGGCGAGATCGACTGCGGAGCTGCGATCGAATGCGCGGCTGCGGGTCGGGCATAGATCAAAGGTGTGTGCGCGCGCGCGAGTGAAGGTATGCGGCATTGTATGCAGCCCCCTCCCCCTCCCCTCCCTCATTCCTCTCCCCCTTTCTCCATTCCCCTCCACCCTCTCACACTAATGAAGCTGACTAATTAAGATTCACGGCGGCGATTTGCATGCAATCGATGTCAGGGCTCGTGGTCGAACGTACGAGAGAACAAACGAACGAATGAACGAACAGAGGATCGAACGAGGAAACGAACGAACGAACAAACAAATGAGCGAACAGAGGATCGAACGCGGGAACGAACGAACGAACAAACGAATGAACGAACAGAGGATCAAACGAGGGAACGAACGAACGAACGAGAGAATCAGAGAACGAACGAACAAACGAACGAACGAACAAAGGATTGAATGCATGATTGTTACAGGATCAAACACGTGAAGTCGCACATCTCGACTGTAAATGTTAAGTTTTACAGACAGAGACTACGATGATTATATGAATTATTTCTATACCTCCTTCAATTAACCTCGAGACGAAATCTGTAGAAAGTACAAAACATACCAAACCAAACCATACCGTACCGTACCACACTGTAGATAGTCTACAATAACAATAAAATTCGACATTTTCTACGTTTCGGGTCAACACCGGTCCGTAATACTGGGCCTTGATTGCCGCATTGCTTCTAGAGATGTGAGCACACACACGTACGTCGTGGTTCAACCTGAGCATACTAGATAATGGTAGTGAATGGCACATCAGTCAGGGATCGAATCTACCAGCGAGTAAATACCGATTGGTTCTCTAGCATTAGCTTCCAAGGCCATGGCTGCGGACCACACACAGACACTGACCATTCATTTAAGAAGGCTCAGACACAACATCTTAATGATAAAAAGCCAGCTGATTCTGGATCATTTACCTAACTTGAAGCCAAGATTATGATCCGGTTTTGGTCTAACTATCAATTTGTGACTTTGATTAGGTTGTGCGGATAGACAACAAAACTAACGAATGGAAAATTAATTGCCGACGACAGCCTAGGCAGCTGTCGTTTTGAACAACCGCTCCTAAACCTTTTCTTGCAGCAAGAAAAAAGTCGCCTAGTCGTTACAGAAGCACCGAAAAAAGGAAAATCAGATAGCTTGTTACGGGGATATCGGACTACTGTTGCTACACGGAAAACCGTCTGCCTGTTTGCAAGCACAAACACTACCTCCCAAATTCGAAATAGAACATGCGCCCGATAGAGATTCGAACCCGGGTTCTAAGAAGCGGACGGGGCAACAATGACGCAGCAATGTCTCGCGATCGGCGGAGAGAGAGAAAACAAATCGCGGAAATGCCAAGGAGTCGAAAACCGCTCTGCGGGCCGCCGTCGTAAACTCATCGCCTTGAAACGTGAATGGCGTCTGCTCTCTGTGCTAACATCTGTTTCCCAGAGACAGAAGGTAGCGTGGGAATGGGGATGGGGGAGGGGAGCAGTCACCGCTGCCATCATTTGGCCAATTTTCAGCAAATTTGCCGTGCACTTGAACCTCTACTGACCACGTTTTTTGGGGGTAAGACACAGGAGATTGCTGCACTCGTACCAAAAAAACCACTAGTTTGCCAAATAGGCTGGTTTGCACTTGCACTAGTGGTAGTTTACGGATATTGTAACCACTTGTGGCTACTTCCTGTAAATCCAGCAATCTAATATATATACATGTACATCCAGCATGTAAGTTGTCAGTAACCAATGTGATATTAGTACCAACCTGGAACCATGGTTATACCACAACCTGTCTGTAAATAATGTGATATAACACCATGCCTGTAACCATGGCGATATCACTACCTGCCTGTAAACAATGTGATACCATACGCTGCCTGTAACCAATGACAATGTGATATCACACGCTGCCTGAACCAATGTGATATAACACTAAGCCTGTAACCACGGCGATATCACGTGTCTGTGAACAATGTAACATCGCAGCCTACCCATATTAAACCAAATATGATGCCATACCATGTCCATAACCGACATAACACTGCACATTGAGGAAAGCAACTATTTATATATTAGTGCATCACGTGATAAATCGTTGAAATTCCATTGGATAACGTCGCAGGTACTATGAAGCAATAGTGCCCGCTCACACTATTGCTTGCGCGACGTATTGTTATTATAACGCATTGTGTTCACGTCACGAATCTCCTGCGTCTGGGCGCCACGCAAGAGTTTCGGTTTGTTGTGTTTGTGTCGAGCGTTTTGTTACATCGAATGCACCGGCAAATTAGGGAGTATAAAGAAGGTATATAAGCATGAAAAGTAAACAGAAACACTAATTGTATTTTCATACATTTTATTTTGTACAAATAACACACAAATATACTAGAGAGAGAGAGAGAAATAGGAGAGAGAGAGAGAGAGAGAGAGAGAGAGAGAGAGAGAGAGAGAGAGAGAGCAAAGGTCACACTCAGCTGCGAGATCATAAAGAACAGTAAGTACGGTTAGGCCAAATCAAAATATATGTGTGGTTACCGTTACATGCCGGGGAAAAATAGGGTAGGTAGGTAGGGGAAACATTTTATTTTCTCGAAATATTTTATTTACGAACCATGTCCGAAGGATGTGCGTTGTGCCGTTTGAAGCAGGAACTGTCCAATTCATTTTTTTATTTTATTTTTATTTTTTTGACTAAAGAAAATTGACAATAAAATGTTTAGGGTCAGTCGGGAAACCGTAACCACACCTATATTTTGTTTTGGCCTTATGGGAATCTGCCACACGAGGAATTCAACTACGTAAATTTAGTGGCTTCGTATGCCTTATAAAAATAGATTCGGTTAGCGCACTTTTTGTGTGTATTTGTTATAATTTTTCTTGCGCGTTAAAATCCGGCAACATAACCTGGCTCGTATAGCTTTAATCGAATGAAATGAATTTGCGAACTAAATTCGTCACTTCCAGCCTGACGAACCGTTCGATCCCATCCCGGACCACCAAACCCAAACACACAATCTCCACGTCTACACTCAGCCAAGTTCCGCACAATTTCTATGCGCGGTGCATGAATGCAAAAGAAAATGCATAACATTAATATATAATGCAAACATATCGATTAGTCCTTTCGTTGATGATTTTATGCAAGTTTATTGATTACGATGGCACTGCTAGTTCGGTTTTTAAACTAGTATGAGTTTCTAACGTGCTAGTAACTAGTAGGCAATTCCACAGTTAGTAACGTTAAGTTTTAAAGGTTATTAATATTATAGATGTTTCTGGCCTGTAAAATGAAAATGTATGTGTGTTCAATCTCATTAATAATACCAACAATACTTTTAGTCTAGACCTTCTACATGTATGTGAAATAAAAAACATTTAGGCTTTCCTTTGAGTTGTAGTGGGAACTTTAATTCCGGTTAGTAATGTTACGGAAAATGGACATGGAAAAAAAGGGCTCATCTTTGATTGAAAAGTTTCCTCAAACAGGGCAAAGTTAGATCAAGCAGTATTTCTCCTGTCATTTCTTGCTTACTGACTTGTGTTTTAGCATAGCACATTTAATGAGTAGTCTATTTATTTTTAAACAACACAACAAAAACATAGTTAGTAACGTTACAGTTTGTCCGTCATAGGTATAAATTATAACGTGTAGTATTTTACACATATATACTCTTCAGGGAAATATCAGTATAATTACTGTGCTGCATGATAAAATCAGGAGTGAATAATAATAGATTAATAATCTATATATAAATATATTAGGGAGTATAAAGAAGGTATATAAGCATGAAAAGTAAACAGAAACACTAATTGTATTTTCATACATTTTATTTTGTACAAATAACACACAAATATACTACTTGCTGGTGCTAGAAATTCGTGACGTAGACAGTTTAATACAAATTGAAATTGTTCGTTTAAGAAACTTTGTCTTATTTACTTCATATTTGCCAAGTAGATTGCAAATGCAAAGTCATGTGATGCACTAAAAACATTAATGCTTGTTGTTGGGGGCACTATGAGCCCACTATGAGAGCATAGTGCCCCCAACAACAAGCATTAATGTTTTTAGTGCATCACATGACTTATCTACTCGGCAAATATGAAGTGAATAAAAAAATCTGAAGCGCTCCATGTTGTTGTCGTCTGACTGATAACAACGCTGGTCTCGCCACCTGTCGATGACTCAGGAAAACTGCTACAGGTAGGGGAAATTGAATTCGAACAATGCATATAACAATGCATAAATGCAATAACATGAATAACAATGCGTCGCTCAAGCAATAGTGCCCACTCAGGCGGGCACTATTGTTTCATAGTACCTGCGACGTTATCCAATGGAATTTCAACGATTTATCACGTGATGCACTAATACTAATAGTTACTTGCACTGAGTGATAATGCATGTATATACGACACCCATGCACAGTGACAGCATTGCTCACGGCAAAGCTCTGTGTTACGCCAAAACCCATAGGGACATGACATAATCCGAGGGATGATTGCTTCGTTTAATGAGGATTAAAAAGAACTTGTATTTAGCATAATATTAGCAAAAACATAAATGCAGAATGTAAGCCAAAGCAAGGAAGACCGTGAACAGTAGCACTGCCATCTAGTGTGGTTTTTGTCAAACAATATCCTGTTGGATGGCAACACGTTGACTAGTCATGTCCTTGTATTTGTATCAGTGGGGTGTAGGATAGTACCTAGTATTAAAAGCCAAGGGTTTAAAGTAGCCACAAACCCTCTGCACTCTAGCAATGCAGAGGTGCAGGTCTGTCTGTCCATACCAACCTCAAACAGAAGACGATCGGTAAGAATAGTGACCAGGGACACACATGCGAATGCTGCCACACCTCCACATTATACTAACATAGTCATACGGTTAAATGCGTTGGTGTTCCTGTTAACATGCTAATACCCTGACGAACAAACAACTTACACTAAATACTATTGAGCCAGTCTGCGAAATTAACCACTGGCCCGGTATACGAGGCCAGTAAATTTTCCGTGGGGCCAATGAAACTGGTAAATGAACAAGCCCGATGGGCCAGTAGAAAAAAATGGAGTAAATGGTATATTAATGATATTTCAGCTTCTTTATGTGATGATCAGGCTGAGAATTTAACGAAATTCCCGATATTTTGTATGAAAATTTACCGATATTTAGCGATAGGGCATCATATTCCCGATCTTAAGTAGGGGAAGTAACTAGTCAACACCATGCGTGATTGTCGCCGCTGAAGTCGCAACAACTTCCGGTTTCTGGTCCGGTTCGGTTTCTCTTTTCATAATACGATGATCATTGATTCGGGCCTGTAAAACCTAGTGTGGGCCAGTGAATTATACGTTTCTACAGGCCCGCTGGGCCAATGAGGGTGGAAGTTTTTCGTGCAGACTGTTGAGCTATGCCATCTGATTGATAGTGATACGCACAACCTGAATTACATATATTACATCGACATCCTTACATATATGTAAGGATGTCGATGTAATATTGCTATGATGTATTACTAATGCTGCGTTTACTCTATCAATTTTTGTCAGCAAATCGTACCGATTTCAAGTGCATTCCAACACAATTGGGGTGAATTTGGTTTTTTTTGGGTTGGGGTTGGGGCCGTTTTTTTTTTTCCACTTGGGGGCTTTGTTTCGGCTTTTGGCCACCCCATTGGATTTTTTTGGATTGCCTTTGGTTCAGTTGGGGGCAAGTTGGAATGCACTTGAAATCGCTACGATTTGCTGACAAAAATCGATAGTGTAAAGTGTAAACGCAGCATAACACAGTGTGCAAACCGATTCGAAATATTGGCATTATTAATATTAAAATTATTATTAATAAACCACAACGCAAAATGAACGAACACGGTTCATGTTTAGGCAACAAAGGAAGGAATCGGTTTATCAAAACAGCAGGCGTACTACGTGGAAGTGTTGACATGACACCACATGCACCTATTAGCAAAAGCAGAGAGAGAGAGCGAGATTTGAATGAAACGTACTTTCCTACGAAGTTCTCAAGCACGGAGCTTTTGCCAGCACTCTGACTACCGACCACGGCGATTTGTGGAAGGTCCAGCGACATAGACACTCCGAGATGAGTGAATGCATCTTGCAGCTTGTTCACCAAGGGGATGAGCTGCTCCATCCCCACGTTCGTCGTCATTTTGACGAGTTTTCCGCACGGTTATGTCGCTGGAAGTGACAACATGTACACCCACCACCAAAACAGGCGAAAATGAAAATGGCGAGATCCGTAAACCGCGCATGCGCATTATCGATTTTGCTACCGCCGGTTACGCCGAGGCGAACGTATGCGGATCTCTCTCTTTCGTCGCCTTTATTGCGGCATATTATAATACCTAACGTTCCAAACGTATCGCATCGGAACGTGTTTAGATCATGAAAGCGTGTGTTAATAAATGGCTCTATTAGCGGTCGATAGTTTTCTCGCAAATGGATTCTGCGGAGGACACTTAGACTATCTCAAAATCCAATACAAGTCTTTGATTCGCGAACATTGCCTAGCTGACGTGTCCGTTGTTAGGACTTTATGTGACCCAATTATACATCTGCCGCTTCCGGCGTGAATCATACTAGATCTGTTACTGTGTATCCTTTATCTCATATTCATCCATCCACCAATGCATACATACATCCATCCATCCATCCATCCATCCATCCAACCGTCCGTCCGTCCATCCATCCATCAATCCATCAATCCATTCATCAATCCATCCATCCATCCATCCATCCACCCATCCATCCATTCATCCATCCATCAATCATCCATCCATCCATCCATCCATCCATCCATCCATTCATCAATCCATTCATCCATCCATCCATCCATCCAACCATCCATCCATCCATCCATCCATCTAGGGCCGTAGTTTTAGCTAAATCCTTAGGGAGGGAGGCAACATTTCGTGATCCGGACGAGTAATCATGATGCATGCAGACGGCCTACTGTGATGTGATGTGATGTGAATGTGATGTGATTGTGAAATGTGATTGATGTGAGTGAATGTGATGTGGGATGAAGATGCCCAGATTTCCCGTTGACACATACAAAAGGCAAGGCTATAAAATAAAAATCAACAAATATATTAGCGTATGTGTCCTGAAATTTGCAGCTCTATGCGTAGCCTTTACGAAGGGAGTAGCATTTTGTTGAATTTATGAATGGATAGGTATCATGAGAGAGATTGATATAGATATATACGAGAGCGGAGACCCCGCCAGAATTCTTTCACAATGAAACATCTACAAACCAGCACTACCATCAATCTTGCACTGCACAAGAATATTACCACAACATAAACATATAAACGAATATTGCGTTAAAATATGCACGTTTAAAAATAACGTAAATCGTCATCTAACACAAAACATAATAACAAACAACAAAAACACCTACTTGCACCGTTGATATCACCAATCCGCTGTTTAGTTTAACCCCCCTACGACACTCACACAAAAATTAAACAACACACAAGTAACCAAATGTTTATCAGAGACATACTCATAACCTCGCCCAACACAATTGACTGCGCTATTGTCTTGCTTTTCGTGAGAACACTGGGAGTTTCTTACTCCGCTATATTCTCTGCTCACCCCAACGTTTTTTATTGTTTTTACAACGTCGTTTCCCGCTCCAGGCCAGTATGTATAGTCGTAACGCCGACAAACACATTAGATAAATACTCAGCAGTGCAATAACATCGTTCCACCCAAAACAAACACCCGGAGTAGTAATTCCAGGAGACTTCAGGTGTCTTGCAAAACTCTCGTAACACAGCATGAAAGGTGAACGCTATTATAACCATGTATTATGATGTTTTATAGCCTAGAATTTGTTTTTATCGTAGTTATAGGCCAATTTGGCCTGTAACTATCTGTATGATCCTACGATTATCTGTGCAATAAACTTTATTTGAATTTGAATTTGAATTTATTATTTGAATTTGATTGTTGTTATAATTCGTTGCTGTTGGCAGTGTTGCCGTTGGCGTTGTTTTTGTTATTGTTGGTGTTGCCAATGTCAAGACTCAATGTTGTCATGCTCAGCTGTTTTGCTGAGCGTTGTTTTTGTAATCAATATGATCGTGAATTTCTTTGTTCGTTAATTTTTAGGCTTTACCTACCTAGTAGTAGTACAAGATGTCTGGAATGGAGAATCTTCCTTTGCCGAGTGGTTGGGAAGCCAAGTTTTCCGCGCAGGCTAACCGATAGTAAGTTATTGCTCATAATCATCTTGATCTTGATCTTGATGGGTAGGCCTACATAACCTCAATAGGCAAGTTACGACGGGTCATTGCTCGAGGGACTTTAAGTTTAGCGAAGGGATCAACGATAGTTTGGGAACCCGTGAATGTGTTTCGCATATGTGCTAAACTAACGAGAGCGGGGCTAAACGGATAGACGGGATATAGAGAAGGCGTATCGCAGAAAGAAGGTGTTGATCAGAAGCGGCTGGAGCACGGGCAGATCTTGCGCGCAGATTTCGCGGCCCAAAAGCAGCAACGGCAACAAAACAAACAAAAACAAAACCAACCAAACCAAAAAACACCAGAGCAGGCACACACTCAATACGACGACAGTGTGCCAACAACGCTGAGAAAGCATGGATCCGTCGCGGCCGAATGCATAAGCGTCTCGCACGGATCCTATAGGCTAGCAGCCCCGAACACCGTACCGCAACATTTTAGTCGGGGACACAGAGGGCAGACATTTTGGGATAGTGAAGGCAGTGTTCACTTCGTTATCATCAACAATCGTCTCTGTTCGCTAAACGACTGTGTCACTCCGAAATTCGCACAGAAAGACTGAACCGAAATTCTCGCGTTCCGTGAACCATTGCCCCAGTAAATGGACACATGGCTCCGCAGGACAAACGGCACTATACGACTGGGACTAGCGCCCACCTCCGATTACCCATCGAGTTGACTAAGCTAAGCCGAGAGGTGGGAGCGAGTGCTGTAGCCCCTTGAGAATTAGCGTGGAATCGATTCACGCTGCGGCTGTCGGTGAACACTTCAAAAGTTCAAAGTTTGCGTCGGGACGAGGGAAGCAAGTACTCAGGGCTGCCAAACTCTCACACAAGGCATAAATAGACACAAGTCAACAAACGAAGACTTCACGCATTTTGACCGAACATACTCACCGCTCTCACGCTGACAATATCTGAACTACAATTATCTCACGCACCAGAAAAAAAATGCTCAAAATATTCACGGCACAGACAAAAAAAATCTTACAATATCTAAAACAGTCACTTTGTAATGTAACGGCCAATTGCACAAATTTGAAGTTATAAATATGGCAAAAGCTGTCGCTACCGTGGGAGTGGAGGAAACAGGGGGGAAACACGATTCCCACCCCCCTCACGCTCGGCGTTCAACTCCTGCAAACGCAACCCGACTGCTCAGGCCTCTCACTCTCACCTATTACCCAAATGATCTGGCACGCACCTGAAGATACATGAGATGTACATCCTGTAGAAGTTGCAGCTTTTATTTGCAGCATAATAAGGCTGGTTATTTTAATTTATAATAAATCTGCTTAAATCAAATTATATATTCAAAGAGTGAGATCTTCTAAATTATTACTGTGGCACGCTTGACACAGCCGGTCGCAACACTCGACCGGACGGCGAGTAAGCATTCTCCTGGCGACTGAAATCTCATCAAACTGCCTCGCCAAAAGCAGCGGCTGCACGCTGGCCCAACGCTGGCCCAACCTGAAAACTGAGTTGGTCTCACTAGCACCAATTACAATAGTATGAAAAATGGCATACCGTCGACCCAATGATTCGGTGGGATGCGCGAATTGTCTACCGATGACATTGACATGTCATATGGAGATGCTACGGATACGGGAAGGCTGAATACTACTGAGTCTGATATCTATCAATAAGACGAAGACCATGTGTTTGCAAGAATTGTTGTTTCGTGTGTGCCTCAAAATTACTGCACAATCTTACCGATTTCTGCAATTCTGCGTATGAGACCTTGTAAATATGCGTGTACAAATTTCTTTTAAGCGTTAAGCGTGTCTCAGGTGACGTGTGAAGCGGCGCTTTTCTCTAAGGCTGAAACTTATAAAGACGGCGTCTGGCGGTCATCACTCGGAGTCAAACAACTTGTTTAGAATGTCTAATGATGATAGCTATTGAGCGTGAGATGGCTAGCAGAATTTGTAGAGACAAGAAGGACGAGATTGTTGACAGATTCGCGTACGCTGTCAGCACAACTAAGGTGCTTACTGATTCAGTATACTGATATAGATGTAGATTCATAAATGGATTGATTAGATGATGATATGATCGGGGCGGTATTGATGAGTGATGAAAATAATGCATAAATGTTCATGTAGTACTTTATTTCCTTGTTATCTTATTTTTTGAATGGGTGATTTTGGTGTAAATTTCAACCACGGTATTCCTTACCGAGAATTCTGCTGATTCTGCAGGTCTCTTTTGTAGTTTACAAAGTCCGGCCCGCAGCTTCTCCGCTTCTCCTCTTCTCTCACAGTTCACTTGCTCCCGCTTCCTCCCCCTTCCTCCTTCTCCACAGTTTTCCCCTCCTCCTTCTCAACAGCTCTCCCTCCCTTCGCCACAGTCTCTCTTTCTTCCCCTCCTCCTCCACCAAGCTCCCTCTCTCCCGCTTCTTTCCTTCTCCGCCAGCTTCTCACCCTCCTCCTTCCTCCACGCCGCTTCCTCGCCCTTCTGTCCTTCTGCCCCATTCTTCACGTAGCTTCTCCTACTTCACCTACCTAGTAATCCTGCTAAACTCTTCCTCCTCCCGCTCCCTACACTGCTCCTTCACTAGCCCTAGTACAGAACTACGAGAGTGCTGACGATGTTCCCACTGATACGCCCGAAACGTCGATAGACCGCGTAGCGCCATCTGGCGCGGTGGCGTTTGCGAAGTTTAATTTAGCGGGGCCAATCACAGGTATTGGCCCGAGGGCCCACAAGGTGTCCAGTCCGGGCCCGCTGTATAATATAGTATAATATATCATATATATATAATCAATATAAATACGTTTTGAACTTCAGACTGCGGACTCCCATCATTTTGCTGCG